TTGTTCAACCTGAAATGACTCATTTAATCATCCAAAACGTTATGGAACACATTAATTAACTGAAAAATGTTGCATAGTATGCCTTTAAAAGGGACTTTTTCCTCTCCACTGTCTGAAATGACTGGACTTTTCCTTTAAAATCTCTTAGAGCAAAAATTATGCTCAACTGTTCTTTTGTTACCTTTGTGCAGCAGATTGGTAGCATTGTAGTGAATCTAATCTTGGTAAAAGAAAACGATGCACATCATTGAGGTTATGCAATCCTTTAAATCAGGAGTTCTGAAACAGATCGGCTTCTAACGCATGCAGGTCATGAATACTGGACCAAAACTAAGAACCACTGATTTACTATAACCTTTCACCTTTTAGCTCGTGTGGAGGTGGATATAAGGATTGTCAGTCTGGTAGAAAGTTTGGCCTTCCAGAGATCCTCCTACAACTTCAGCCTGCAGGAGAACCAGCCAGCAGAGGTTTCAGTGGGGCAGGTCCTGGCCTACTCAGGAAGCACCCTGTACGGGGTCTCCTATGCCCTGAAAACACACACCGACCTGTTCTCCATCACCAGCGATGGAGAAATCTTGACGGAAGAAGAGCTTGACAAAGAGCAGCAGGAGTGGTACATCCTGGAGGTAGAAGCCGTGGACACACGGACGCCACCAACATCTGCAGTGACGCTGGTAACTAATTTTAGCTGAAGGACATGACTGCAATTTGATCATAAAGCTCTTTTATTGCAGCTCTCAGATAAAAATATGTATTTCTTGTTTTTTTTTAGGTCAGAATTCATGTCGAGGATGTAAATGAGCCTCCAGAGTTCGCCTCAGAGGAATATGAAGCCTCTGTGTTCAACTTTGCGCCGTACAAAACCCCAGTGATTCAGGTCAAGGTAAATACATACACCTCCAACCAGCCTCCACTGGTTTGGAAAAAGATGTTTATCTCGTCAGTGACGTGTGATCGAAGGCGCAGTCACTGCGGTTTTGTGAACTTTGACCTGAAACCCTCCCAGTAGCCCATTAAAGCTTCATGGTCACCGTGTCTTCTACAGTGACTCATATCTGACTGTCAGGAATGAAGGAAATTCACCATTTTTTATCTCTGTTCCATTCATCATGTGACCACTGAGGACAACCTGGCATGTTTCCCTCATCAGATGACAAACAGCGCAGGAATTAGAAAAAATGGCTAACATTAAATGATGTCCAAACATCCAGCTGACACAGCTTTATCCTGCACGGGCGGCAGATTTCATGTGACATTAAATGTTTACTCTGATGTTTTGTTCTACTTGACAGAACCCCAGTCAGCCT